GCACTACTACCCCCTTCCTGCCTACCGGGCACTTCTACCCCCTTCCTGCCTACCGGGCACTTCTACCCCCTTCCTGCCTACAGGACACTTCTACCCCCTTCCTGCCTACAGGGCACTTCTACCCCCCTTCCTGCCTACAGGGCACTTCTACCCCCTTCCTGCCTACCGGGCACTTCTACCCCCTTCCTGCCTACCGGGCACTTATACCCCCTTCCTGCCTACAGGGCACTTCTACCCCCTTCCTGCCTACAGGGCACTTCTACCCCCTTCCTGCCTACCGGGCACTTATACCCCCTCCCTGCCTACAGGGCACTTCTACCCCCTTCCTGCCTACCGGGCACTTATACCCCCTTCCTGCCTACCGGGCACTTCTACCCCCTTCCTGCCCAGGCCAGTTTTCAGCGCTGTCACATTTTGGATGACAATTGCACGGTCATGCAACACTGTACCCATATGAAATTGTTATCCTTTTTTTGAGACAGATAGAGCTTTCTTTTGGTGGTATGTAATCACCTCGGGGTTTTTTATTTTTTGCTAAACAAACCAAAAACCACTGAAAATTTTGAAAAGAAAAACACAAGTTTTTGTTATAAAATTTTGTAAACAAGTGATTTTTCTCCTTCACTGATGTGCGCTAATGAGGGTGCAGTGATGGGCACTGATGAGGAGGCACTAGTAGGTGCCACTGATGGGCACTGACAGGTATCACTGATGGGCACTGAAAGGCAACACTCATATGGCACTGATGCACACTGATAGTCGGCACTGACTGGCATTGATAGGTGGCACTAAAAGGCAGCTCAGATTGGCACTGATATGTGGCATTGATAAGGCACTGATGGGCACTGGCAGGTGGCATGGATGAGCACTGACAGGTGGTACTTCTGGGGCCACACTGATCATCAGTGCCCTGATGAGTGCCCATGTCCCCTCCGAGAAACACCGATTACCGGCTCTCCTTTCGTGAGGAGAGAAATGCCGATAACCAGCATTTCCCTCTTTACATGTGATCAGCTGTGATTGGACATAGCTGATCACATGACTGAGCTGACATCTTTGGCTCTCTGTTGATTGGTGATCCACAGTTTCCGAGGGACACAGCGCACCGCCGATCAATGCATGCTTCCGGAGCCGCGTATGCGCGGTTAGAGTGGGAGGACGTCATATGACATCCTCCCAGAATGAGAGAACCACCTTACACCCGTCATTACCTTATATGGCGGGCGGGAGCCGGTTAAAGGGCATCTTGATGGATAATTTGCTCATCATTTCCCTTATAGTACAAATGTCAACCAAGAGATACAAAGATGTGTACAACACACATGAAAAACTCTGTACATTTCAGCACTCAGAGGTCTACCAAAGATGACCACAAATGATGTATGATAAACAATGGATCATGGATTTTGCCAGGAATGTGTAGTAGATGTTGCCCTCCTCAACCAGGGAAGACTTGTGAAAACTACAAAAAAGAAAAATCAGGAGGGTACAAATGCCTAGTGCATTATGAACGATTTATTGTTCACAAAACATAGATGCCAAATGGATACTCACAGAAGTGGAAAGTAAAATCACCAAAAAAAATACAAGATGCCACAGCAAGGGGAATCACATTTGGCCATGTTATATAAACACAGTGTAGCGCTAATAATTGATATTCACATAAATCAAAGTGATAATATAACGTGATATAAGCTTCACAAAATCAACCAGTGAACAAAAAATGATAATAGTGAAAAAAAAATAGATATAAAAAAATAGATACCATATAGTGAAAACACACTCAATCCCCCTTAATCCACAATAATGCACACAGTGATAAGTGTCACACACCACGCTTGACACAATACCAATGAATATACATATAATAATAAACCCCCAAATTGAAATATAATATAGTCCAAAATATTTAAACACGTGCTCCATCTGTAATTTTGTGCAAGTGATGATATGTGTAGGTGGTCACAGCGATAGTGTCAATCCTTCAGTGGCCAAAATGCCTCCTCACCTCCTTGCATTGACCACAAAGGCCAGCTTACTTTTAGGATTACACCTATCCTTACAGGTAATAATTCCTCACAGGATCCCCCTCAATGGTAGTATATGCTCCTTTCCTTTCAAAGGTCTCCACCACATAACCATCAGCAAAACCACCCTCACATAAAGGATCTTTCAAGGTCTCCTCCAGATAGATATCGGCAAAACCGCTCACACATAAAGGATCATAATGAGACAAAACAGATCCTCCATCGTGTAATCATGTTATGATTACTGTATAAAATACACAGAGAAAATGCCCACTCACATTTCATCCAGCAAATAACAGCTTTCTACCTCATGCTATGGATGTATTGCATGGGTAGTAAAATGGTGTTCCAATATGGTGCCCATGTCGGAAATGACGTCACCGCGCACCGGAAGTTCCTCCCCGCGTACCGGCACATTACGTCACGCTAGTCACGTGACTTCATCAGGGTACGCCCATGGTGACAGGAACTTCTTTTATAGGTGACTAGCTACCAATCAAGAACTGGAGGCGGACCTCCGGCGGCCACTATACCGGAGCCCAGCTGGATTGCATGGATACACGCGATTCTGTAGTGCCTTTTGAGATTTATCAAAAACATAACTTCATTCCGACAGCAAACCAGCCTAGCCATCTGTTAAGGGTTAACTTTTCTTGGTTGAAATTCAAAGGACCCTCTAGTGAAGACATGCAGATAATGGGTGAAGGGAGCTTTTTCCAGAGACAGTAGACTGTTTGACTATCTACAGGTGGCCTAAGACCGACAATTCTGAGAAGTTTAAATTGGCGACTATGAGACTAACTAAAATGTGTATATGTCAACAAATACTGTTTGTATAATGGGGTTGGGGAGAGTGCATATACAAAAGTTAATTAGACAGTCAAATAAGAAGTTGGACCTCTAAACATTGAGTCACCACACCAACAAGTGAACAATATATGAGACATACTTGCAAGTCTGAGAAGAGTAAACAAAGCCTTGAAAAGAGTGATGAGTCAAGAGTCTTTTCAAACAGTTTCTCTTTAAACTACAAGGACAATTGGTGGTTGCCCTATTATCATTACAATGGACATAAACATCAGTATTGTGTCATTCTTAAGACTAAAAGTTAAAGCTTGGAACTTATATTTTTACCCACAAAGACATTAACAGAAAGATACATTATTCCCACTCTTTCTGAAACAAAAATACATTCAGCAATGGGGATTGTATATCACTAACTTGAGTATTGAAATGATGAAAAGTAAGATATATTGTGAATTAGTATCAGTTGTATGTTTTATCAGAAAACAAATGCTTCACACAAGTTTGTATCTCAGGGAAATGAATAACTGAATACACATGTATCTTCTATAGTTCCTATCCAGGACATTATAGGTATAATCAAATACATATATCTGGATGAGACATATATTTAATACCTAAAATCACCTTGAATTCCACCCGAGGTGTGAGTCATCAATACTCAAATTGTTCTATGGTACCTGACTGCCACCTGGCGGACAGGTGAGAGATAGCTTAGGTACATACACTTCTCGACCGGCCAATCAAAAGCCTGTTGGGAGGGTCTCTTAGACCAATAGTTTAGATGGTATAAAAAGCCATGCACCGCATTTAGAAAAAGAACCCTCACTGAAAAAACCCTCACTGAAAAAAACCCTCACGAGAAACCTCACTAAAAAAAAAAAAAAAACCTGACTGAAAACTGACTGAAGAAGCTGAAGAAATCTGAAGAGGCTGAAATCCATCCCTGCTGAATAACCACTATTTCACCCTTTCAAACCTTTAAAAACTTTTCACTAAACTTCTAAACTCTCTGAATCTATACCATACTACATTTTCCAACCCTACCTATCAATCACTTGTCCTGCTGTCATTATTCTGAAGGCGTTTCCATTGCCAGCTGAATCCACTGGAAAGGTGTCATAGTCCAAGCTCTGGGGTGTGGTGAGACTGTCTATCTAATGTTGTATTGCATATTTCCTCTGTTGTTTAGTATGATAAGAATTACCTTAGAGTGATAACAACTGCATTGGGTGTTCATATATATATAGAGAGATCCTGTATTACTGCTAAAATTGTTTGGTGTCATATTGCAGATTTACATATTTCATAAATTATTAATTTTTATTAGTTAGAGTATAATTTATCAGGGAATATTTTCTCCCATTCCTATGGCCACGTTATGAGAGAAAATGACCTCTGAGATACTCTAAATTATCAGTTATAACTAAATTTAATTTTTAATCTTTATCATCATTAGAAATATTGTATCTTGTTTTATCATTATTTAGAAATACTGTATTGTGTATGATATTGGTATAGTATATCTTTGATCGCGTGTACCAGTATTCATTCATCACCAGTCTTTTGCGTTTTGTGTTAATATATATATAATTTTTGTACATAAATAAATTTATATATTTATCTATTATAAAGCAAATTTTGTGTGTATGGTACGAAATCATACTGGCTAAAAGGATTCAAGGTATAATAATAAGTGGTGATCAAATTATCAAGGTGTCCAAATTATTGGTTCACTAAATATTTGCCGTATTTGACGGCTGGAGGCACTGTAATATTTTATTTAAGGGAAAGGGACACCGCCCTTTATAAGTAGAATAAATCCTTTCATAAACCACCACAATTCCCCTTGCTGTGGTATCTTGTGGTTTTTATGCTATTTTACTTTCTACTTCTGTTAGTATCCATTTGGCATCTATGTTTTGTGAGCAATAAATTGTTGATAAAAAATGCACTAGGCATTGCACCCTCCTGATTGTTCTTTTTGTAGTTTTCACACAAGAAAAAAAAAATAGAAGTGACTTTTTGAAGGTGCTCCCTTTCTGCATATATACTGCTAAAAACACACACTATATTGCCAAAAGTGTTGTCCCCGCCCTCCCAATAATTGGATTCAGGTGTTTCAATCCCCTGCATGGACACAGGTCTATACAATCAAGCCCCTAGGCATGCAGACTGCTTCTACAAACATTGGTGAAAGAATGGGTCGCTCTCCACGCCAAGCGTGGTCCCGTGATAGGTGGCCACCTGGGCAATAAGTTCATCTGTGACATTTCCTGGCTACTAAATATTCTACGCTCAACTGTTAGTGGAATTATAACAAAGTGGAAGCAACTGAGAACCACCAAGTGGTAGGCCACGTCACATGACAGAGCAGGGTCAGCACATGCTAAAGCGCACAGTGCACAGAAATCGCCAACTGTCTGCAGAGTCAATCGCTAAAGACCTCCAAACTTGGTGAGGCCTTCAGATGAGCACAACTGTCACGTACCTAATGGGAGACTGAAATGACGAGGTTGGCCTCACTTGTGTCACTAGCCCTAACCCCGCTGGAGTTGGAACAGAGGGAGTCTAGGACCCAGGGGAACAAGAGTGCCAGTAGTTGTTGTTTGCAGATGAAAACCTTGGAAGGCGGATGATCCTCTGATTTTTGCACAGTAATAGTAGGCACAGCAGGTTTTGCAGTTTGCCAGGCGTGCACCAGAGCAAGGCAGGTAGTGAGGACAAGAGACAGGAGCAATGTCATGGAATAGCCAGGGTCATCAACAGTTGGGCAGCACGGTACAGAATCAGAAGGAAAAGCCAAGGTCAGGAGCAGAGCCGAAGTCAGGAACCAGTATCAGGAGAGCAATCAAAGTCAGGTGAGGAACAAGCCGGGTCAGCAACAAAGGAATCATACAGGAACAAGCAGGACACGGGGGAGCTGAAGACCAGTCAGCACTGAACATGAGCAGAGGCACTCCCTAAATAGGCCGTCTGGCGCCAATCTTCGGCGTGTGTGTGCACGTGCGCGATCGCGCATTCCTGTGCACATGCGCACAACCAGCAAATCTTCTGCGGGAATTCCTATGCGTATGTGCATTTCCAATCGCTATTCTTCTTGCCGGAAATCCCTTACAACAACAGTGCATAGAGAGTTTCATGCAATGGGTTTCCATGGCTGAGCAGCTACATCCAAGGCTTACATCATCAAGTGCAATGCAAAGCGTCAGATGCCGTGGTGTAAAGCATACTGCCACTGGACTCTAGAGCAGTGGAGACGTGTTCTCTGGAGTGAACAATCATGCTTCTCTGTCTGGCAATATGATGGACGTGTCTGGGTTCTGCGGTTTACAGGAGAACGGTACTTGCCTGACTGCATTGTGCCAAGTGTAACGTTTGGTGAAAGGAGGGCTATGGTGTGGGATTGTTTTTCAGGGGTTGGGCTTGGCCCCTTAGTTCCAGTGAAGGCATCAACATACCAAGACATTTTGGACAATTTCATGCTTCCAACTTTATGGGAAGAGTTTGGGGATGGCCCCTTCCTGTTCTAACATGACACTGCGTCAGTGTATAAATCAAGGTCCATAAAAACATCAGTGCCTAACTTCACAAATGTGCTTCTGGAAGAATGGTTCAACCTTCCCATGGACACCCTCCTAAACCTTGTGGACGGCCTTCCCAGAAGAGTTGAAGCTGTTATAGCTGCAAAGGGCGGGGCCAACTCAATATTGACTTGATCGGTCCACCTGTGTGAAAGAAGCCAAAAGCAAGGATAAAAGAATACATAATTAAAGTCCAAGAGTTGTTAGAGTAGTAACATTTTTTAAACATCTCCCATGGCCAACCCATGTATGCTATAACTGCTTGCTGACTGCAGCTCATGGATTTACGGCAGCAAAGCGGTCTTCCTGGATCATGTAGCTAGTATGTGATCTGTGCTTCCGGGCAGGGGGTGTATGCTTGCGCCCGCCACCGTGACTGTGCTGTGGCTATGGATGCCAGGTGATCACCTTGTGTCAAAGAGGCAATTACTGACTTTCTGCACTCAGTGCAAAATTTTGGAATTTGAAGGAATTTGTTGAGGGATTTTAGGACCAGGATACCCCCCTTTGGGTTTTGGTACCATGAACAGGTCGAAAACATCTTCAAAGACTCAGTAGGTAATATTTATTATACACAATAGGTCAGTGTATTACATGCTCAAGTAATTTACTTTATGTTGCCTGCACAAAACACATTATGGAAAAGGGAGATTCATTGCAGAGGGTTCCACCAAGCATAGTGTGCCTCAGCACTTCTTGCTTAAACGTAATAAGAATTTTAGCGAATGACAAGTTTTTGTTATAGAGGCCATGTCCAGCCACCTCACAGATAATGAAAAGTTTCTAAAGTTGTGTAAACAAGAAACGTACTGGATACACAAACTGAACACTTACACCCCGGATGGACTTAATGAGGACATTGACATATGCACAGTAGATTAAGCAGAAAGGTCGTTGTAGGTGTGGGCTTGTGGCTGTCCATTGGCTTATGCATGTGTTTATATAATTGACATACATAATTCTATATTCATACACACATCAGTTGTTTCCCCATCTGGTTATACTTTTAAGAGTACTTTATTAATTTTTATTCAGTTCCTCAGAGGAACGATTACACAATTACTGGGTGTTTTCACCAGTGATCCAGGTCACCGCATTGTTTTCATATTTATATGTATTTATGTGTTCATTTTCATTATTTTAATTTTTTGTATTTTTTTTTTATATTTACATTTTTAATTGTGTTGTAATTGTCTCTCTTTATATATCGGATGTTTTTTTCTCTTTTTTCAATATGTATTCTAATGGAGCTTTCACTGTATACATGCGTGGAGTCTATTTATTGATGTATCGGAAAGTGGTGTTTTTAGTTCTGAGCATATGGTTTATAATAATTTTCTGCTTTTATCTCATGTCCCCATCATATTTTCTGTCCCCATCATGATAACATTTATCCCAGGCTTAAAGCGGAGCTCCACCCAAAAAGGGAAGTTCCGCTTTAAAGACTGGTCCCCTGCTCCCCATTAAGGGTTTGCTCCTGTGGGGAGCGGGTACCTGAAATTAACAGATACCCTCTCCCAATTCTGCTGCGATCGCCTAGGTCAGGGGTCTGCAACCTTTAAGACATAAAGAGCCACTTGGACCCGTTTCCGAGAGGGAAAAAAAGACTGGGAGCCGCAAAACCATTGCAACATTTAAAACAAATCCGACACTGCATATATTGCAAAAAGCGCTCTGGTCATGAAGGAGGTTTAAGGGCCCAGTAAGCAAACCCATATAGTAATTCATCCCCCATATAGTAATTCATCCCCCATATAGTAATTCATCCCCCATAGTAATTCATCCCCCATATAGTAATTCATCCCCCATAGTAATTCATCCCCCATATAGTAATTCATCCCCCATAGTAATTCATCCCCCCTATAGTAATTCATCCCCCATAGTAATTCATCCCCCATATAGTAATTCATCCCCCATAGTAATTCATCCCCCATATAGTAATTCATCCCCCATATAGTAATTCATCCCCCATAGTAATTCATCCCCCATATAGTAATTCATCCCCCATATAGTAATTCATCCCCCATAGTAATTCATCCCCCATATAGTAATTCATCCCCCATAGTAATTCATCCCCCATATAGTAATTCATCCCCCATATAGTAATTCATCCCCCATAGTAATTCATCCCCCATATAGTAATTCATCCCCCATATAGTAATTCATCCCCCATAGTAATTCATCCCCCCTATAGTAATTCATCCCCCATAGTAATTCATCCCCCCATATAGTAATTCATCCCCCATAGTAATTCATCCCCCATATAGTAATTCATCCCCCATAGTAATTCATCTCCCATATAGTAATTCATCCCCCCATATAGTAATTCATCCCCCATAGTAATTCATCCCTCATATAGTAATTCATCCCCCATATAGTAATTCATCCCCCATATAGTAATTCATCCCCCATAGTAATTCATCCCCCATATAGTAATTCATCCCCCATAGTAATTCATCCCCCATATAGTAATTAATCCCCCATATAGTAATTCATCCCCCATAGTAAATTCATCCCCCCATATAGTAATTCATCCCCCCTATAGTAATTCATCCCCCATATTAATTCATCCCTCATATTAAGTCCCCAAGTCCCCCCTGTGTCAATTCACTTACCTTTGCTCCGCGTGTTCCTTTCGCCGTGTTCCCGCGCCGTTCCGGTATAGCATGAAAATCTGTCTCCTATGAGGATCTGTCCCCCTCGACGTATCTGCGCATGTGTTTTGGTTTTGTTTTTTTGGGGGGGGGGGGGGGGGGGGGGGGGGGGGGGTGGGTGTGTTTCAGGCATTAGCAGCCGATCGGCGATCTCCGGCACATGCGCAGATACGTCGAGGGGGACAGATCCTCATAGGAGATAGATTTTCATGCCACACCGGTCTTCAGGGCGGACTGTGAGAGGAGCCTAGCTCCGCGGGCTGGATTAAAAGGTCCGCCGGGCCGAAGTTTGCCCATTGCTGCCCTATTGCCTGTCACCTGGTGGGCAGTGTGCTCCGGAGCCGCAGCCAAGGTGAAAAAGAGCCGCATGCGGCTCTGGAGCCGCGGGTTGCCGACACCCGGCCTAGGTGATCAGAAGCGGAAGTTGTCCTCCTCCATCCCCGTTGTCTTCTAGGACACGTGATAGGTCCCAGAAGACTACAGGACCATTCAGAATGAACAGCATCACTCCTGCATGCACAGTAGTCACCTGGCTGTGAAGCTGCAAGGTGTCACAGACGGGTGCCCACATTGAAGATGCTGGCGCTGGGAACACAGGACAGCCGATGAGACGGGCTACAAGGAGGACACCACAGGATCAAGGGACAGGTGAGCGGTTGTTTTTTTTTAAAAGTCAGCAGATACAGTTTTTGTAGCTGCTGACTTATTTTTTTACAGTTTTGACTGGAGCTCTGCTTTAATGATCTCTGTTTTTAATAATCAATCACAATTTTATACAATGCAGCTCACATGACTGACAGGCTACTTAGGGGTCAACTGAGTTAGGGGAGTGAAGGAAGGTTCCATCTGTGCCCTCCTTATATTTGTATGCACACCTTCAATGCTGTTTTTTTTGGTCTCCTGGCTTGACAAAGAGGCAGAGCATCCAAACGTTGCTACAGAGACCGATATTGTTTGCCTCCTTCCAGCACGATGCCCAGCTTCCTGGATTCTGATGGTTTGATGTTCCTTCCTGTGACAGTTTACTGTAATGTAATTTCCAGTCTGGTTGACAACTCTTCCTGGTTTGGAATACACACTATTCACCATTGGCATTTTTTCCTCCCGCTGGTCCATCCATCCTCTCATCCTTTATTCACTTGGGGGCAACAGGCAACAAAGATGGTACCTCACTTCTCGAGCAGTGAGTCAGATGTGAGGCGTGGATTTGTTACACCTTCTGTTTCAATCATTTCATTTAGGTTGAAAATAAGAAACAAGCGATACAAAATAGAATGTAGTTATGCATTACAGAACATTGAGCGTAAAGGTTGCAGATAGCAACACCAGTTGCTGGGATGTTGACAACAAGGCCTTAAACATGATCCACATAGGTGAAAGAGCGGGTAAGATAAAAAAAATTCTACTCTAATCTCCACTAAAGAGGACGCTAAAATCCTATGCATGAAGGGTACCCATCTTGGTCAGCAGTCCTGCAGGGTCTTTAGACCGTATATCTCTCTATACAAAAAGGTATCACTTGTGGTGAACAAGTGGATTAATATGAGTCAGGGCAGGTGTCCTGACAACAGTGACCAACCTGCATTACAAGGAGGAAACCTGTAGATAAGATAGACAGGGGTTCCAGATCTTATGGAATAAGGCTTGTTTATCCCAGAAGACACTCAATCTTTTCATTCAGCATGATCCAGGTTAGCTTACGCTTCCTCAAGGCTAGGTCAATCACCGGACATTTCCAGGCTGTCGCTATAGTTATTATGACTGCTAAGAATATGAAAGCTTTCACGTATCTTGGGATATCATCCACTGGGCATTCAACATTGCTGGTAAAGCATCTTTGGGAATGTTGACTGAATGTATATTTCCACCTGGCCGCAACCTCAAAAGCAGTAGGATGAGGATACATTTTGGTGAGGTATTCCAGTACCAGGCACCATCTGGTGTACACTTTGTAGCCCTCCTCAAAACAATGCTACTTGTTACACCTTCTGGATGTGGCACACCATATACACTATAGTGGCAAAAGTTTTGAGACGCCTGCCCACACCCACACATGAAATTTAATGGCATCAAAAACTTAGTCCATAGGGTTCAATATTGAGTTGACCCCGCCCTTTACAGCTATAAGAGCTTCAGCTCATCTGGGAAGGCCGTCCACAAGGTTTAGGAGGGTGTCTATGGGAAGATTTGACCATTCTTCCAGAATCACATTTGTGAGGTCAGGCACTGATGTCAGACTAGAAGGCC